ATTAATTGTGCAGCCCTAGATTAAAACAGGTCTGGTGTTGCATTCATTGACAGCAGTCCCTAGTTTGGAGAAACAATCAGCCAGTCAGAGCACTGTACAGGGCATATGCAGTGATAATACCATCTGCCTACAAAGCTAGCTTGCTAACTAGCTAAATCTAGCGTTAAAAAAAAAAATGCTAAAAGGTAAATAATAATAATGATGATATTTGTATAGCACCATTCAAAATGCAGCTCAAAGTGCTTTACAGTAAAGGTGCTCACAGCCTCGGGTGTATTGTAAGTGGAGCAAACTCCGCGAGGAGTGTAACCGCAGTCATTTTGGCTTCCATAGTCGAGTGCACTTCCACGTTGTAGTTTCCTGTAAAAAAAGTTTCCTGAAACACTACATTCGATGTGAAAAATACATGCCAAGCAGTCTTTTGTGTGACACTGGTGCGCGCGGTCGTAAAATCTGAGCTTTGCACGCACAGGGCTTGCGGATGTCCGCTTTTAGTCCGGGTGGACCTCCGCGGAGTCCGCTCCGCGTACGTTCCGCCCAAGTATGTTTGGGCCTTAAGGCATTAAAACACAAAATCCACAAACACACAAAAGATCCAATGAGAAAAGCAGAGAAATTAAAGTAGTGAAAACAGATGTAGACAAAAGATAAAAAACAACAACAACATTATCTAAAAGCCTGACTAAATAGGTTGGTTTTCAGCTGATATTTAAGGATGTCAAAAGAGCTTGCTCGTCCAATGTACCTGGGCATGGTGCTCTATAGTCTCGGGGCGTAGTAGCTGAAAGCAGTTGTCCCACTCGTTTTGTGGGCTACTTTAGGAACAGTTAAAATACCAGCAACAGAGGACCTAAAGACTTTTGTAGGTTGATAAGGAGATAAAAAAAAAATCAGAATTGTACGAAGGTGTTATACCATTAAGAACTTTGTATGTGAGTAAAAGGGCCTTAAAATGAATTCTAAAAGAAGTGGGGAGTCTGTGCAGGGTGCAGAAATAATGTGCTCTCTTTTCACATTCTTTGTTAAAAGTCTTGCAGCAGAGTTATGAACTAGCTGGAGTTATCATAACTTATTTGATAGACCAGTGAAGAGGGCATTACAATAGTCCAACAATCTTAGGGCATGTGTCCACATAGTGTTTCTTTTCTGGGCACCAGTATCTTTTTTCAATCATTCCCAAAGAGAAAAGAACTTAAGCGGCTGTACGCGGTTACTCCAAGCACTTCTAGTTGAACATCTCTAAACTTTTCAGAAAGGCGCCGGTGACGTCACTGCTGGTCCTAGCTACTGCATGATATGTCAGCCAGAAACTATCACAACAAAGACAGAAAAGTGTGAGAGCAGATTGATTGGACACTGAAATGTTGCTGTGAGTGTTGTGCATTCATCACTGTCACATACTAAGTGTGTTGTTAACAAGCAGTCAAACCTCTGATGATGTAGTGTTACGTTAGCTAGTTAATGTTACTATCAAGTTATTGTTGTCACAGAAAGTATGAAGTGCTGGGATGAAGTGTTCCCCCCGACCCTGCCACTGCTTTTCTACTGAAGGAAAGCTCTATGTGGACACACAGACTTACTTTGGCAACGTGACTCAGGTGGCGGAATAGTGTCTTGGTCACTTTGCAAATATAGGATTCTAAAACGACACCAAGACTTTTGACTTCTGATTTGGTCGGGTAAGCCAGTTCCCAAGTCTATTAAAAAGTGTCTCCCTCTTGCATTTAGGTCCAAGCAGCCAAATCTCTGTTTTATCCTCATTAAGTTTTTGTCATATATCCATTGTTTTATAGAGGCCAAGCAGGTGGTCAGAGGTGATAGACCATTTGGGTTAGTTTTCTTAATAGAAATGTATTATTGAGTGTCATCTGCATAGCTATGGAAAATGTATTGCGCTTGTTAATGATATAAGCTAATGGAGGCATATCTAAGGAAAACTGCAGGAGACCAAGACAGCTTAGCTGTGCAACACCAAATGGTTAGACATGCTACACAGATGCACTATTGCCCAGACTATTACAGAATTTCATCAAAAGGGTTTTTCATGAAAATTAATCCAGGTTGGGAGTATTGTTGAAACGAGATAAAGTGGTGTTGTATCTATACCGCAGCGCAAATAAGGTGCTGTAATCCTTGTGTGCCGTACACTTTTTCCCTCTGATGCGCTGTCTTTGGGAGCTACAGTAGATCAAATGAATGATTCATTATAAAATCATCTTTGCTGAGCAACATTTTTGTGTGAAAGGAATTAATGGCTTGTCCTGTATAGACACCTGTCCCAGATATAGACACGTTGATTTCAGTGATTTATGCAAATAATAGCCCGGGTTATTAACTGAAGTGTTACAGTACTGGTAAAATATGTCGTTTTGAGTGAAATGATCAAAAACTGTTGAATGGATCATCATGAAATTTGGAATAGAGTAAGCTTTACTCAACTGATTATCCTCTAATTAAATAACTATAAAACTATGACACTCCTGTCAGCCTCAGATTGTGTTTCATGCTAATTAGCAAATATCAGTATGCTTGCAGACTGAACTAAATCTCAACATGTTAACATTGTCACTGTCATGGCTGCTGTAGGCTCTGTGTCTTGTAGTATTATCTTCATAGTATAATAGTCTATCTATCTATGTATCTATATATCTATATATCGATGTATCCATCTATGTATCTATGTATCTATCTATCTATCTATCTATCTATCTATCTATCTATCTGTTATCTGTCTATCTACACTGCTTATGATCAAAATGACTGAGCACAGTCATGTATGTGACTGTCAGGGTGGCATGGTAATATTTCCAGGAGGAATGATTTAATGGAAATGTCAAGAGCAGCAGTCGCTCCAAGCAAAGGCTGAACCCTCTGATACAATGTGAGCCACTTTACCTCAGTGGGGATGAGAGACTTGTTGTCATTCAGCTCCGGTCCCGACCAAAATCTGCCTTTATCAGGACAGAAATGGCATTGTCACTTTTTAATGGGATTACAGCTCTTTCGTTGCATATTAATTTGCAAGAAATCAATACGGGCTGTGGTTCTGTTTGGGGGCATTTAAACACTTAGCTGCTTAGCGTACATCCTGCAAAAGGGGAGTGATGAAGAGTGAGGAAAAGAGGGTTGGAAATTAGACTTGCGTATTCTGATTTCTGCAAGGAATGAAAGAGACAAAGGTCAAACGGACCCCTTGAAAATGCAGTGGTTCATTCCGGTGGGCTTATTCTTACATTTTGAAATATAATGGATGAATGGATGTAAGGAGGGGAGGAAAGAAGAATGACTAAATATGAGAACATAAGGGAGGATGTTGGGAAGGATGGAGCCCACTGGGAGCCCCAAATGAGTTTTTGCTATAATAAACTGTATTCATCACAAACTACTTTACTAAAGGACTCTTACAAAGTGCTTTAAAGCGTAATTTTAATTAATCATATTTTACTTTCTTTGCTGAAACCCCACTCCAGCATGTTGGGAAGTTGCCTGTAGGGTGCAGGAGCTGTCCAGGGTGCTGAACATCCCAGTGAATTACATTAAGATAACAGCATAATGAGAAAAAAACTGAAAAGCTTTCCTGCACAGTTTCCACTTATTCTTCTTAAATGATTTACAAACAGAAAAAAAAAACAGCCCTGGTTTGCTGTGTCTATGAAGAAACACAGTTATTTAACACAGCTCTAAAATCATGACTGGAGAATATAAGTGCTTGAGTTACTGATTCTACAACTCAGTGGTTTGCAGGCTTTATAGCACCGACATGGGATACGGTCCACTCAATTACTGTGGTGACCTTCAGATGGGCGCGGTTGTTCTTATCGTGCAATCTCCACCAGTTGGCATTACACCACAATTAAAATGCGTGTTCAAAGCGACCTGTCACCGCGGTTGTTTGCCGTGCTGCTTGGCACCCTGTAGTGGAGAGGGTGACATCTATGACTCCTCGCCAAGGGAGCCCGGTAGACGCACCTAAGTGTAGTTATTCTTTCAGCTCTGCCTTCAAAATTCGCCGAATAATTACACCAACAACTCCGACCAGAGGAGTTTTTCCAGTTTTGTCTTTTCTTTTTTTTCTGTGCCAGCGCAGCTCCAGCCTCACACATTCTCAGATGGAAGGTAAGATCTGTGTTTTTTGTTTTCCGAAAGCATCGGTGCTGTTCTGGTTTCTGTGTGTATGACCTGCGGGCTGTAATAAGCGTAAAGGCAAACAACCAAATAATGCATTGTCAGATATAGTTTTTAATTTCCTCTGTGAGTTATTCTCCATCCTAATTGTGCCGTACTTTGAATTTCTGTCCTGAGGACTCGCCTCCGTTAAGTTTCGCTGGATTTACTCTCCACATGCATTACCTGTCATGTAAGTGGCTCCTGTAATGTGATGATAAAAACTCAATGGTCAGTAAGGTAACACTTGCGTGATACGCCTTACTACAGGTGCTGATAATAATTACTGTATGCTGTAGTCGATATGATTGTAACTGTTGTGCTTTCAAAATGACATCAGTGCGTCTGGGCATGCAGCTGTTTGGGCTGCAAGAGTTGGACGCTGCTGTAAAAAGCGATGCAGCCCATTGCTGAGTGATTATCGAGCAACTTTAAATAGAACACTCCACTTTGGTGCCACTGCAGATGTGTCTCTGCTTACTGATCAATTCGTATCATGCAAAGAGTTTAAGATGATTTCCTTCGTATGGATAAGCATTTTCAAAAGCATCACAAGACAAAGTCAGCTGCTTTGTTAGATTCTAAACACGAGTTGCATTTTAGACACAAAATCACCCTCTGTGGCAAAAAAAGTAAGATACAGAGAATAAATGACGGCTGGGTATTTTTGCGCAATTGCTCAATTTCAACAGCCGCGTAAAACAAAAGGTTTGAAGTTGAGATTTACAAGCAAGTCAGTATTATCTTTAGGACCCGGCGGAGCGCTCGTATGTAACTGGACATAGTGGCTCCATTTGAGGAAGATTGCTTATCTCTCCCCTCCTCTCCCCGTCCACAAATCGGCTGGGCTGAGAAATCTACCCAAACGACTCCAAGAGTTGCTCTCCATCGGGATGTGTTTCAATACGCGCTGATGGACTTTAAATGAATTTGCGACCGCTGTGAACCCCTCTTTGACGGCGACTTTGAGTATTTTCTCGTGCGCCATTCCGATGAACGCTGCGCCAAGAGCAGCGCTGCGTAAAGCCAAACAGCCTGTGTGGACACCAGCAGTCGATACTCGGCGGCGTTTGTAAGCGCGAAAGAAAAGGTCTAAATGCGAGCAAGTCCCGGAGCGTTATTCGGAAGACAAGGCTGCTTCAGTGAGACGCAAAAGTTTAAAGAAAAGTTGAGAAAACGCTGCTCTCTTCACGTGAATGCGCGCTTTCTGCGCATACATTGCTTTTATTGATCCGTCAGGTGAAATCTGAATAAATCACAAAGAGAAGATTCAGTCAAAGGCGCATGAAAATCTTTCTGCAACTACTCTTGGCTAATAACTTGTTGAATGAGCAGCTCGTCCCAGGAGCGCATTTTTAAATGTGAGTATTGTTGTGTTTTCAGCATTCAGACTGTTCACTTTGCTTTTTGCATACCGTCACTTGTATGATGATGACAATCGTGACTAAATGGGCGATAATAGGGTAATTACAGTGGGCTGTTTCATGGGCGGAACGTGAACTGTAATCAGGTTTGAAGTGGGTTAAATGAATAAGGAATGAGCGGCTCCTCTGAAACAGAATTAAAACGTACCACATCTTTTTGCTGTTGTCCTCTCCAAGAAGTTTCACTGTCTCGAGGAGGGTTTCTTTGTTTTGCAAGATGGGGGCTTATAAATGTAAATATGCATCGTATTCACTTTATACAAAGCTGCTGTCATTCTTAATGTATCCCCATTTTCCTAAGTGGGTTAATAAATGAAGTAATGTGACTTTAACCTGTTGCGCAGCAGGTCAGTAAAGTCAGATCTAGGTGTGCCTCGCCTCTGCGCAAAATCTGACCCAGAACACACTAAGCTCAGCCTCTGTTGGATGTCTTAAGTTGTCATAAATGGTTGCTGTCTTTGCATTTTTATTTAAATCAGGTATACGACCAAACAAATTCTGAAATTATGAGACTTTTGCCTTGGTCTCTGTCCTGTGTCTCTAATTGCATGACTGTTACATGTCCTGGATATTAAAACGTTTGCAACACATTCTACGTTTTTGCATGTTAGTGCTCCAGGAGAAGAACTGTGAATAATGTATGGCATCAGATTTCATGTGTGGCAGTGGTGCAGGCAGCCTGGCTCTCTGGCTGGGCTCCACACTGAGGGACCCCTCACATTGTCTCCACATCAACCACATCCTCTCAGGGTAAAAGCTCTTTGTAGGAAAGCACAGCCAGTACTTGTAAATAAAAAGTGACTCCAATTGCAAAGGCTAAAGGTGCAGCCCTGGGACATTAATTGTAATGCTTTATGTGTTTATGGATCCAGTGCAGCCAGGGTGCTGTTGAGAGACAAAGCAGTGGAGAAGGGTTTGAAGAGAGGAAGAGCTGGACTGAGGGACTTGAATGAGATACCCAGAGAGAGGGAACGAAGGAGTGGAAGACAATAATAAGACAAATACGTGCCAGTACAGACATGCTTCTGCTTGCCAGTCGATCCCACTGTGACTCATATGGAAGGGTTGGTTCTTGGCTCGGGAAACGTTGGAAGCATTAACCCGTTTATTGTTGCACTCATCAGCCAGCCACAAAGCATCAGTCTGCTCAAACTGGCCATGGATCAGAAGTTATTGGTTGGAAGTCAGCAAAATCAATAAACACAACGAGGCGGCATTGTATATGTGCACATCCAAAATCCTGACCAGGTGCTCGGTATAGAAAGGCAAGACAACAAAATAGCAATTGTTGCAGGATGAACCGCAGAGGGGGCATCAGTTTCTGGCTGTCAGAGGCTTTTCTTTTTTTGTTTTCATTCTACCATCAATATAAGTGTCATCTTGAAATCAGTGATGTCAGAGTTTCCCTTATAGGAGCAGATTTGAAATCCTGTATTTCAGCACCGTGGACAGCTCTCCCCTTTCACTTTGCCCTGTATGGGAGCCAAGAGGCGATCAGAAAGCCACACTGAGACAGAGAGCAAAGCCACACTTTAGTGGGATTACTATAAAATGAATGGAATACATCCGCCATGGTTTTTAAGAGTCTTGCTGGGAGTTTGTAACCAATATAAGCCACGGGGCACGGCTGCCTGCTGACTTTTAAAACACTCTGCCATGCTTGAGCTGCCCAGGGGATGGAATGCAAGCGGACACAAGGGGGTGTTTCAGAGGCTTCAAAAACAAGTGAAGGAAAAGAGACAGAGAGAGGTGGGGGGGGGGCGCGGTTGGGAGGGTTGGGGCGGGTGGTCACCCTAAGCTCTAAGCTCTCTCCCTCTCTCCCTGCATACGGAGAGCTGCTCAAATATTGATGACTTTTAATATAGAATCTGACCTCATATTTTTCTCGGTGAAATTATGACATTCCTGAGTTTCTCCTTGTGTTCTGACTGCGATTGGGTGTGAGGTATAGACGCAGGGGTCGGAGAAACAAGAGAAGAAGGTTCTAATCTTGCTGTGGATAATGCGTTCATAGATTCTCTGTGTGATTTTAAGTCAAGATTTTGATGTCATTTCTTTGATTTTTTTTCTTGGTAGGAGATGAATTAGCTTTCTAAATGGTGTCAGAACACTTACTGTATGCAGAAATTGTCTACTGAGGATAATGAAGACATTGTGCGCTGTTTCCCCCCTTCCTGTCACCTACGCAGCACTCTGATGTTGAATGGTACCTGTCCATGGAGGTCCACTGAGCATCGTGACACCTTCCTTTCATCTGTATAGATTTTATTACTCCAAGTGTCTATGAATTAAATCCAATATTCCCATGGCTAGCTCCATTTGCTGTCGCTTATTAGCTTTGAATGTTCCCTATTAAATAAAAATAAGATAGGCGACCTCTACGACCCCGCAGCTGGTACCTAATTTGACTGTCTTTATAATGAAAGTCAACCTCAGCGTTACCAGGGGGGGTGTATCTATGTGTGTGTGAATGCATGTGTGTGTGGCCATGTGAGTTGAGAGTGGTCCACCCTGTGACGCATCTCTGATACGGGACTGACATTTATATTTATTAAATTTGATACACGCAGAAAGAAATGGCTTATTCATCACTTAAAGCTCCAGCCGTGTTATCAAATTTGTAATTTGCCTCTTCTTAGGAGTCTGGTTGATTGACATGAACACATTTAAAGAGCCAAAATTCTTTCCCTGTACGTTTTTTATTCCCACCGGGTTCTTCCCCCTCTCCCACCAGAGGTCTGTCGAACGCAGCCTGCCATCCATACCTCCTGACATGGCTCACTTTGAAGGGTCTGCCGAGGCTGAATGGCAGTGCAGATAATTTTTACTGGGCTCAGATGAACATCTGTCATTACAGTTGGAATGTATTCAAGCCTGTAGTCATTTTGTAAAAGGGGCATTAGGTTGGAAGAGGAAAGCTGTAATTGCCTTAGATGTGGTCAAAACCAATTGAAACTGGCACAATTTTCTGTCCAGCCAAGATGGCCGAGTTAAAATACTGAATTCTAATGCCTCCATATGTCAGCAGGGAGCAATGAAAACCAGCCTGCATGTGTGAGCCACAGCAACTCATTAAGATGAGTTTGTGTTTCCTACATCTGATCTGAATCTTTCTCCTTTCACACGATAAACCTTTATATTGAAATCTATCTGTTAATTAATATGATCTGACTCGATAATCTCTGATAAAAGACGTAATCTCTTGACACAAATCCACAAGTAGCTCTTTTCCTCTGAACATTAAAGACTCTCAACATGCTTCAAACGCCATTTTACCTGAAACTTCTTCATTTTCGCAGTGACTGTCAGTTAAAGCTGTAGCCTGAAGGGTAGACGGTAAAGCTGCTGACCGGAAAGTTCCTGGTTCAACTGCACGTACCAGCTGATTGTGCCAGGCATTTTTTAAAGTCTGAATATGCGTTAGAATAAATGTGATGTGACACTGCAAACTTGTAATGGGCTTTTAAAGCGGATAACTGTACATGCTGGGTGAGAATTGTGCCCTAAGCTGGCAAAGGTTGAATTGAAATGTAAGTACATTTTTCTGAACAGCCACTCGCGGGCACATAAGACTTCTTTTTCACTATGGCAAAACCTCAGGCCATCTGAGCACATTGACAGTCAACAGTAACTTAACTCCTATTTACAGTGTCATTACTCTGTTGCAGGCAGCTGTATATAGCTGCTCAATTTTATTTTCCCCGCTACCGCACACACGCTGTACCTGAGACATTGAGATGGTGTGGGTCTCCACTGACTGCTGCCAGGCACCATTACCTGATGACTTAGGCCATCTGACTGATGGCTTGTGATAGCTCCGAGAAATGCACAATCCCTCAAATAGACCATTTCTGTCTCCCAATTTTACTTTAATATTTCCCAAATGCCTCTGAAGGCACTGGGACAAACCAACTCCACATTTGGCTATAAAGGGGCAAGAGAATGGGAAAAAGCAATAACTTAAATGCAGTGACTTGACACATGGAAATAAGCCTTTTTGTATGAAAATCAAATGGAGATTAGGCTTTGCAGAACAAGCTCCATTTGAATTGTATACAGTGATTTTGGCAGGGTTATTATTGAGGGATACACATAAACAGCAGAGCCCTGTATTTTGTATACATTATGTATGTGTGTGTGAGTGGTAGTAGGTAGTGTGACGCACCACTTATCCACCTCAGTGCCCTCAAACCATGCTGGATCTCTGTTAATATTTTAAAACAGTATTTCAAATGTTTCATGTGACCTGTTTAATTCACCAACTGTATTTTTTTCCTGTCCTTTAGGATGCTGTCTGCTGCAAAATCCACAACTGACAGGAGATCGAGCTAAGACATCTGACAGCCACTGACTTATGAGGAGTGTCACTCCTCTCTGCACATCACATCTGACCGTTGGTTGACCCTCTCATCAACGCCCAACACTCGTGAAGAAGAAGCTCCCTTGTTGACACACCTCATCAGCCAGGCAGAAGTGGCAGCAATCAAAGACAAAATAACTGGATGGGGGCTAATCGTTGCCTGAAGCTGCTCACACAAAAGTAGCAACATGCTGCCACAGTTCCCAGATGCACCATTGCACCGTTCAAAGCTGCAGTTAATTTAGAAAACTCTCGGCGATATTGTCATTTCTGTGACGAAGCAGCAGCTGTAAAGACAAAAAGAAGTTCCACAGAGACCATACAAATCAAGATCAGCGATGCTTTGGCCCGTATTGTTCACTCTGCAAGCTGTGTGCACCAGCGTGGCACATGCCATGCAACATTACCCGGCGGCCTGGGGACACTATGACGTGTGCAAGTCCCAGATCTATACAGAGGAGGGCCTGGCGTGGGACTACATGGCCTGTCAGCCAGAAGCCACTGACATGACAAAGTACCTGCGAGTGGCCCTCGACCCCCCAAATATCACGTGTGGAGATCCGCCAGAAACGTACTGCGCTTTGGTGAGTCGTAACCTCGCCTGTCCCCTGATGGAGACAAATGAGGCTGTAGGCAGGATCACACAGCATACTGGGTCAGGGATAGAGAGCAGTGCATACAAGGCAACGTGCTGCCGCTGCAGCAGAGATTAATGTGCACACAGGCCCGGTGTGCACATTAGGATACAAGTGCTAACACGCAGCGGCACAGTCACAAACTAGACACACACACACACAGACAATGGATGCAAACGCATCAATATAAGCACAAACCTTGGAGAAGCAGATGTAAAGATACACAGGAGCACATCAGCTCATACACACCTAAGCAAGTGCCGCACAAGGACATACAGGCACCTACAGACTCACAGACAGGCACAGTCACACATGGAGATGTACATGCACCTTACATACAAGCAACAGGTCATTAAAAAAAAAATCAGAGCTCATCTGTCTGGTTTAGTTGAGTGTATTTTTTTCTGACGATGCTGATGTTCATCTGTGTCACAAATTTCTTTACACACATTTACATATCTTTTAAATTCTATGGAGCCACATAAGGGACAGTTTTATAAATCAGAGAAAAAAACCTAATTTTGCAATCTCTTTGTATTCCCCTGATAGATTTCTGTGGCAAAATGTTTCTATTCCTCC